TCTCATCGTGTCTCATCGTCTCTCATCGTGTCTCATCGTGTCTCATCGTGTCTCATCGTGTCTTATCGTGTCTCATCGTGTCTTATCGTGTCTCATCGTCTCTCATCGTCTCTCATCGTCTCTCATCGTCTCTCATCGTGTCTCATCGTCTCTCATCGTGTCTCATCGTGTCTTATCGTGTCTCATCGTGTCTCATCGTGTCTCATCGTCTCTCATCGTCTCTCATCGTGTCTCATCGTCTCTCATCGTCTCTCATCGTGTCGCATCGTGTCTCATCGTGTCGCATCGTGTCTCATCGGGTCTCATCGTCTCTCATCGTGTCGCATCGTGTCTCATCGTGTCTCATCGTATCTCAATCTCATCGTGACTCATCGTCTCTCATCGTGACTCATCGTCTCTCATCGTGACTCATCGTCTCTCATCGTGACTCATCGTCTCTCATCGTTACTCATCGTCTCTCATCGATGTCTCATCCCCACTGCAGGTTGGCTGATCGACATCACGAAGTCCGTGGAAGCGCCTTTCCAGCTCACTGGCTGCGGAGCCATCCTCGGAGGCGTCCTCTGTGCCTGCATCCCACTCATCCGCCGGCCGGACGAATCGGCGAGGAAGCAGGAAACCGGATCGGCCATCGTCGCTTTCGGCCTGGCTGGCGGGGGTATACTCGTCGGGCCCTACCTGACAGGTGGCCGGCCGCGCTCGCGGCGCAAGCGGCGCACGCTGCGCTCCAATGAGAGTTTTATTCGGTCGGTGATGAAGCGGCAAAATCCGAAGTCGTTCGTAATGAGAATGTACAGTCGGTCGCCACAGAGTAGCAAGCTACACGAGGTAGCGGAGAGCGACGGCGAAGATGAGCGCACCCTGGCGGTGCACAAGCGAGACGAGGCTGCGGCGGACGCGTCGGCAGCGACCGGCACTCCCGCTGACGACGTCGCCTGTTAGAACGTTTGAATGTCTGCCGCCCGCTCCGAGCGAGACACACCAGGGTCAATATTTGTGTAGTCTACGGTTTTCTCGCTAGTCGTGGTCGTACGCGCGCGTGTGTGTGTACAATTTGGAGTAATCATTCAGAATGATTACTCCAATGTTAACTGTGTTTAATTGTGCGTACGTCGCTACACTATCACTATGTTCCGTTAGCGATATCGTGGCCTCACATGATAATACACCACGAACGAAAGCGTTTCTCATTGCGCGATACCTGAAAAGGACAAATTAAACAAACGGGGCGATTGATGTACCAAAGCACGAGTTACGAAGTATCGAAGAATGTGTGTAAGGCTTACGCCGCCCTGGTTGCGGGGACAGGCAACGATATACGATGGCTGCGTTAGCGTTTGGTTTTGTCTGCGATCTCTTTAATGCGCTCGCAAAGACGATGATATGTTAGTCTGACAAGACAAAGACAAAGACGAAGCCTGGTAATGATAAATTAATTATAGTGTGACTGCCATGTACGATGATATTGTTAAAGCTGATAGTAGATATTATGTTGATGTAATATAAATGTATTATTTCCCATCAGGCTATATATAGTGTGCATACGGAGCCCGCTGTGGGATAACTATTATGAACAGAATGTCTCAATCAACGTGAATCTCGATTAGTAAATCTAAATTGGTTATTCTTCCGCTGGTTAACTGAGCGCATGCGTTGGGCACACCTCGGCTGATTCCATTCCTGGATCAAGCGAAGGTGAGAAAAACAGAATCGTCCGGGGTTCGCCGAATGTGTCTGACTGTGAGAAGCATTGCTGTGATTCGCTGACCACACACACGTCAAGACCGGACCCGTAGTGGCCGCCATCAAATATAAACGTCGTTTTATCCTAGATGGTACAAAGTTGAGCCTAACGACGGCTATACATGTGTTAACAAAAGCTCAGACCATTCGAGTTTATCGTACTACGGTCCAAACCATTTCATATGCCTGGAAGAGTCGCTCAAAATGACGCATAGGGATGGCTGGCATTCGAGCGTTTGACATCGCTGTGCTTATTCGCGCATGCGTACTGCTGCCTACCGCGGAAACCGTCTTCATGTCTTAGTAGCGGTCTAAGAAATAAAGTGCGGGAGTGTGCGGCCTTATTCCGAACTCTGTGGAGACCGTGAGGGACAAAGCGAAGTCTTATTCTGAGATTGTACTTGTAATTAACTGAGCCTCACCACACACCCGCAGGACCGTAGCTAGCGTGGGTGGGCAAGGGGCAGTTGCCCCCTAGAGAAATGTATATACATTATATCAAGGGGAGGGGGGTAATGACAAATTTGGCATTATTCGCCCCTGATTACATGGTCAATGGCGGTCATCTTCCTAGAATACAACCAGCACGTGGCTTTGCCTCTCTCTCTCTCCCCCTCTCTCTCTCTCTCTCTCTCTCTCTCTCTCTCTCTCTCTGCGGGCAAAATAGGTTAGCTACGCACCAGATATCTCGTTGATGAGGAGAGTTGAATGCTTGTGTATCACGCTGTAAGGCGAGAGAGCTTATTTTACGAACTAATTTAATGCACGCGCCACATTTCGAGAATGAAATGTGATAAAGGTATTCTGTCTACTGCTGGTTGTGTGGGACCAACTTATCTCACACTCGTAATAGAAATTGCGTACTCATCCAATTTATTATTCGCTTCCCACGGGTGAGAATGAAATTTATATCACTCATCTGCGGGAATCTGGTCTCATGATAGTTTCTATTGGCAATAAAGATGAATATTTCACTAAATGAGTTTTTTAGATTTCGTTAATCTGATTTTATTTCACTGATAGCTTTTGTTTTTATGTCAGAATTTCTATAGGTCTATTAGATAATACCGTGAACAAAATATATGCTTATGTGGTAAATCTAGTAACCCGTATTCGCAGCAATATGCCACGTTATTTGGCACAATTACATTGGCTAGATATGTAGGCACAGTTGAAGCAGAATAGATGATCAACACACGATCGTAGAATCATCAAGATATCCACCGGTTCGGTAAAATTGGCACAGCAGTTTTCAATAATATTACAGAGTGTGATAATTATATGACAACAGTGGTACCGTCCCAATCTATATTTTATGAGCAAAATTGAGGCTAATTGTGATTAATGTATCGAGCAAAATTTAGAGTAGTGCGTTTAATGCCAACACATTCATGGCTCCTACAGAAACCAGACCGATATTTCAGCATATTGTCAGCAGCAACATGAAGCAACCTTAGTTGAAAACATGCAAATGCGGAGCAGTTAAATTTAATAATTAATTACACAGCCCAATGTGAATCATAAATATTGATATATGTTCATATATGTGGTATATATGTTGACAAGAAGCGTGTCAAACGCGTTTGATATTTTTTAATTGCGGTTTATAATCTTGAACCTCGAGTGATCGCATTAGTATGATCCTCTCTAGATGCCACTGTGGAACACTAGACCCCGCATGCATATATGACGTAGTATGACGTTAATTCTTACTCATAACATCCGTGACCATAGCTGTACGATTACCTTGCTAATTATCAAAGAACCATTTAACTTCATTGTATAGATCTCCTTGCCCGCTTTATTATATAAAAATATTTACACCATTACAACGCATGTTGACTAGAACGTTAGGACACATCCTATGGTTACTGTACATGAAACAAATCCCCCTTATATTCTCTACATTTTAAGAGATATAAAGTGCTGTAATCTTAGTATGTTTTAAAAGAATCGCAGAATGAGAGTATGAACAGTGTTAGCGTCCATGCGCAGTATCTTCCAACAAATGAAAGGTTACTTCGGTTAAACTATCACATTAAAGTAGAACGTAAGTACGTTGGTTTAAGAGCAAGTACATTTGGAGAGTGAATGAGAGCTGGAGGATGTGGAGGAGGAGATGAAGGTAGGGAGGAAGGGGAGGGGCGGGGTTAGAAAAGATGGAAGAGGAAGTAACATGAAAGTGTGTAATAGATGATGAGGGCTGTGGGAAGGATAGAGAGAGGCGCTGGAGGAGAAGGGAGGGAGAGGGAGGTGGTGAGGGTGGTGATTATTATGTCAGTGGGACCCACAGTTCTCATAATTTCTGTATATTACGCCCGTGCATGTGTGTGCGTGTGTGTGTGTGTGTGTGTGTGTGTGTGTGTGCGCCGCCCCCCTCCCGGTGGGCGTGCGTTGCGTCGTGCGTTCGTCGTGCGTGCTGAGTTAATTGTGTGGTGTGTGTGTGTGTGTGGTGTGTGTTGTGTTGTAGTGATGTGTGTTGTTGTGGTGTGTGGTGTGTGTGTGTGTGGTGTGGTTGTGTGTGTGTTACGTGTCGTGTGTGTTTTGTGTGTGTGTGGTGGTGTGTGTTGTGTGTTTGCGTCCGTGCGCGCGTCATCTCGCGCGTGCGGATCGCGGCGTGAGGTGTAAGTGCAATGGTGTGTGCGTGGTGAATGTGTGTGTCGCGACGTGCATGTCGTGGCATATGCGGAACAGCCGTGCGCACTGTTAGTGTTCCTCTCTCTGCCTGGTCTGTCTGTCTGTTTGCAGCCCGTCTCTGTCTGTCCGTCCGATCATATCAGATTATTGTATCCTAGCATCTGATCGTAATGCACTCACGCGTAGCCTGCCAATTGTTTTAGACTTAAAGTCCTGTAGCCAGGAGTGGATATTTGTACATCGAAGGAAACGTCAATGCAGCGGAAGATTTCTTGAAAAGTATTTTTGTGACAGTAACTTCGTTCTTTTGCGTCAAAAGCGTCGGAGGGCGACCATCGCTAAATTCGCCCCCATGCGGACCTTTGCGCGCACAGGCAAGATCGATACTGGCATTTGCGCAGTCCGGCTATCAACTCGTCCACGAAAATTACTGCTACGCCGGGGGCCCACACAAGGAATCCAGATATTTCATTTCCAATTTGATTGGGGCCACCACGCATAGTCACACGCCAACTGACACGAGAGCACCCTGCGTGATCATCGATGTATGCGACTTCGCAAAAAAAAACGTTCGCGACTATACGCGACCTTTTCCGACTTTCGCGAATTCGCGCAGACTTTATGCGATTTCGTAAAAAAATGCGACTTCGTAAAACATGACGTAAATAGTCATTCAGTTTATTGACCGCTGTTTCTGTCGTAGAACCGATAATTGATGTTACCAATAGTGACCGTTGAAACCCACTGTCAATTATAGCATTCGCTTTGGCAAATCGATGCGCACCAAGCACCGTTTTCGCGTTCGTGAGCGGCGAGGTCCATGGCAGTGAGTATAACTTTACACCTAATAGTGTAGAGAGATCTAGCCCTGCCATGTTTACTAGATGGCAATTCAATGCAAGGCCGTTAATACGAAGAACGAGTAAAAGCGATATTGGTACAATTAAAAGTACAAACAGTAAAAACGAAAAGGCAAAGTTATTTGGCTGATTTTGAAACCGCAAATGTCCCATGATCATTTCAATTAAAGCGCATTCGAAGACAAAGAGTAAATATCGGAAAGTATGTAGCACTGCAATAGGAAATATCTGCATCATAAGGATTGCAATAGCCGTAAAGATATATGGTGACTACATAAATTTGAACTCTATAATAAATATACTTTAAATGGACGTAAATCGCCAATTACGTGAATAGTAATCCGTCCGTGAATGCGCGCCGGGTGTGTGTGTGGGTGTGTGTGTGTGTGTGTGGTGTTGTGTGTGGTGTGTGCTGTGTGTGTGCTGTGTGTGTTTGTGGTGTGCCTGGTGTGCGCTGCTGTGCAGCCGTAGTACCTGCGTGGTGCAGCGTTAGTGTGTGTGCGTCGTGTGGTTTGCTTTTTTAATTCCGCGTTCAAGCGGCGAAATGCCGATCTATTTTACCAACTGCTCTCCTTCACAAAGTAAAAAACAATTTTCATTTCGGGGAGGCCCAAACGGCAATTAACACAACACAGCGCGCACATAAATCGAGAAAGCTCCCGCCCACCTCCCTCCCTCACCCTCCCACCACATCTCTGTTATGAACACAGTCGAGACACAGAAACGAGAAAAACGCCCGTCCCCCGTCCCAACACTCCTCCCTTCTCGACAGCCCACATCTCCTCCGCTTTCGTGCGACTAAAGTCTCCGTCGTTGCTCGCATATGTAAATTTACGCTATAATACGCGATCGCGCCTAGTGGAAACGTCTTAATGCCTCTATAGTGACATTATTTATACGCGGGGATAGCAGTAGGGGACGGGTGACAGCCGACCCGTCTGTTTCAGAACAACATCGCGCCTGTATACGACAATCGAGCATGATCCCGTCTGCGCTGCAGAGCGTCGGCAACAACAGTTCCATAAGTATTACGAAACAATAGCGAGTAACCAGATAGCGCGGCTTACAGAAGTGAACTGTACTGTCAGCCAATATTATACAGAGGACAGATGCTGTTCCGTATATACGTGACAGCGATGGGGTTGATTTGCACAGCCGCGAGGAAACTAATGCTCCAATCGCGCAGACTGCTGCAGAACAATGGCTACCGAAATTATCAAAAACCCTAGAGTATACTGGGCGGGGACGGCGTAAGTGCGACGTGATGTAAAATAAACACGAATGTATTACTAACAAGTCCTAATGTTTTGTTCGTACGTTTTCTTTCGCAATGCCTATAATTGCCGATAATTCCTGTAACCACTACGGTTCATCGCTCGCCGCAACAACGCAAGATACAACGCGCACGGCGCGCCGCCTGTGGCACTAAGCATCGTAAGACTCCTGGTAGTAAAACATTGTCATGTTTAATTTACCATAGGTTTATTATTGAAATATCCAAGTGCCTAGTGATTCGAATCCAGGCGCGAGCTGAAAATTCCGAGCCGCGAATTGGCGAATCCAGCCCGACTGCCGAATTCTACATCAGAAGCGACGACACGCCCCGCAGTGCGGCGCTGTGCTCAAGTGCTCAGCCACGCGTACTAGGCTCGCAGTGATAATCGCCCCTCTGCGCTCGG